AGCAAAGACGAGAATGAGACAGATATTTTCTCTGGACTTAGGAGATCTCTTCAAGAAAATTCACACTTTGCATAGGATTACCACCAGCTACCTCAACACTGTGCAGACTGCAGTGAAAGGAAGAGGAAGGGCTTTAGAGTTCATCATGGTTGCTTGTGTTATCCATGACGTCTCACAGTTTTATGCGTCCTCTTCTCTCCACATAAGTGGTATTGCTCTGATTGAGACTGCCACTGCTAGTTTAGCCGCGTTACCGTCATCGGTTCGCTTTCTTGATGTAGCCGTTCTCCAATAGTTCAGAATTGGAATACATCGTAAAAATCTTGCTTAACATTGCTTTTCTCACATGAAAAAGATAAATCCGAAAATTTCTCAACGAAAGATTACAAATAAACTTGTTCGCCGTTTTCACGAACCTTTGAGAAGATACCGCTGTCCTCATCATCGATGAAGACCATACAGTTAAGCAATTCATTGAAGCAGTGCAGAAAAAAATATTGTAGCTTTGGAGCACTCATTCGATTAAAAGCGTTTTCATTCTGCTGAGATACTTGCGATCATGGATTGCTTAGTGAGAATGTTCCCCACTCAGTAGACAGAAATGCGGCACGACCTTTACAACAAGTCAAGAAAAGTCAAGAACCAGAGACAAAAATCTACAGCAACATCACCGTTCTCTTAAAATGATGGATTCGACAAAGCGAAATCATCTCGTCACCTTCATCAAGTACGCTCCAGACATCTTCCTATGCTTACTCGATGGCTATGTCGGTTTGTACAGAAAATTTTGCTGTCATGGAATTTACAGTTAGCAACTGGAAATAACAGTAAGGAATTCGCCAGGAAGAGCTTACGATTGAGGATTGCAGCGACGGCTTTTAAGGCTTCCTATTGGAGATATAAGTTTTCATGATGGAGAAGGTTGTAGACGTCTACTAAAAGTGGACGCCGACGATGCGAAGCCGAGAACCAGTGCCACACTTCCAAAAACTACTTAAGGGTTAGAGAATAGTCGACGTTTATCGAACGGTCGTTCCTCATTTGAAAGGCGTCACTGGGAAGGTGAAAAATTTCGACTAAGATATTAGACGTCGCCCTCAGTTTTGCGTGTATGCGACGTGCTACAACGCTTAATGTAGTGCCGGCTACGATCTTGGACAAATTGACTGGAATTAAAAATATTGAGGGATTGAAAATATGATGCAGTTAAACAAGATTTTGCCGTAAGCATTCAACCTGATCCTGTAATAGGCGAAGTATCAGCGTGCATTGCGAGTGCCTTCAACCTCTCCATCGGCCATTATTGCCGCTCTTCTCTCCTTGATACCTTCTTCTATCACCATTCTGCAGAGTTTGGGCGTTGGTGTGTGGTTGCTTGTTGGCTGCGTGCTTCAACATAGGTGTATCAGCTTAAGTGTTCCTAAAGATAGGAACCTTTTTTGACTTTCGAACCCTCGGCTACTGAGCTAAAGGATATTAACATCAACGTAAAGTGAGACGTTCCATAAACCGAAACCATTTCGCCAAAGTTATTTTCCACCACCAGCCATAACGTCATCCGAACACTGGAATGGGACAATATGGGAGTGAAAATCGATGGTCAGTAATTACACTGTCTTCGCTTCTCCGGTAATATCGTTCTTGTGACGTCAATAATTAGCCAAGCGGAACGAATGCTTATCGACTTTGATAAAGCTTAGGGAAAGATTGGTCTTCGCCTACATTACAAGATGACGATGTTCATGAGAAACGAATATGCTTCTGATGTCCTATTTACAATCAGTGAAATATATGTCTCGCAATGCCCCAATCATGTATATCATGAAGTCAAAATGATGATCGGAGTTCGTCAACAACAATGACCTGGCAAAAGCTATTGATTATGTATTAGATATCCTACACCCTGAGTTTGCATTATCAGTCTTCGTCTGCTTTTCTTACTAGAAACTTTTGTATAATTAACCGATAACAGTTGATGAGCCATTTGGCTTGCTTTCTCCAGTAACGCATAAGAACACGATGAAAATATGAGCGGAGTGGACCCAGCAATCAGCACAGGTACTTGCGTAGTACAACAGTTGAAAATGCAGTGCAATCTTTCTCCAAATGCGACGTGCATTGAATTCAACGCGAACAGCCGACTGTTCGTACATGACGGCATATCTTCTACGCGTCTTTACCAGCATTTCACTCTTGCTCTTTTTTTTTCAAACCCGTTTCCATGTTTTTCAGCTTCTCGTACCAAATGTGTTCAGCAAACGGTAAACGGTTTCCCAGCACGTCATAAAACAACTAACATAAGTTGCATCCGTTTTGAATACCGATTGTAAAACAAACATGAGTTTTAGGTCGTCTTTTGTTTCCGTCATTTCAAACTATCAAGGGGCAAATATGTACATTTATTCTGCCTCACATTTCCTAAAATGCGAGGTTGTGTCATTGACAGATTGGACGTTCAACCTACAGCACTAGGTCAGGCCCAGAACAATTTAAAGTAAGAATACCGAAGATTTCCTCAATTATGCGATTAAAACGTCGCATGCTACTTACCATGCTTAATTTTTTTAAATCACATGGTTTACCCTGTTGCTTCTTACGATATGTTGCATATTTCTACTACGTAACCCTCGATCGACTATTCTACTAGTCCAATGGATCGCCGCCGTTCTGCAATAACCCCTGTCGTGACCGTCCCATCGCGTAGTTTGCGATCGTCGATGGTATTTCGCCCTGATGATCTCAGAGTGCCAGGAAAAAGCCCACTCAGCTAGTATTCAACATGTCAAAGAAGGATGAGCACCGATCCTCAAGTCGCGATCGAATTTACGTATGAGCGAGACCTCCTCCATAGGAGTCAAAGTTCCAATAGAACGAAATGAATCAGGAAATGTGGGAGCCGTACGAATCCTGAAGATGACCATTTCATTATTTAACTGCTTAGTTTCATGAGTACTTCCTACAATAGCATGCTAATGTTTTCTTTACATGAAATAATTTTTATCCCAAATTTTATAATTCTACGTGAAGAATCCTTACCGATTCAGTAAATAGTCAAGAAACTCTTCAACTTGGTTAAGAAGTCAGACTAACCTAGTTTTTCGAGAGGTGTAATTTTCACTGAAGCTCCCTTAGAAGCCACACCACATTTTCACGCTTTCGGCTACAAGAACATTATACCCTTATATACACAGAAAGCTCGTGAGGAAGCGATACAATAGTCTGTGCACAGAGGGTGATGTAAACAATGCGACCAGTATCTAAGCAAATGAGGTCACGCTACTCATTGTTGGACGGGCTGGAGAAGGTCGCAGCGTCGATCCACCGGGCGATGTTGCCTTGTCCGCTGGCTATGGAAAGGGACTAAGGTACGGCAAGCACGCAGGTCAAGTGATTGCGTGTACGAGATTAACGATAATGTCGAAAATATTCTCTATAGGGTACAGAACAGTCTATACAACACTTCATAGGTGTATCCGTAGAAAATCCTTTAATGAAAATAGCAAACACAGGTTGAATAGAATCAGTAATAACTTAATAAACACTGCATAAGTAAGCCCCATGCTGTCTCGTTAAGAAAACCAAAACTGATTGTATTACGTATCTACCGTTTAATCAAGACGTGCAAGGATACTGGTTTGGTCACAACATTTGTTTGATATGCTATAGACCTAATGTAATTTAAGAGAAGAACATGTGAAAGATGACATAAATACAAATGGAAATATGTGAGACAAATGTTATAGCACAGAAAAGAACCCGTTGGTGGAAATGAAAGGAGCAGTATTCAAAAACCAAACTACAATGAAAACAAAGGAAAACTATGAAAGACCTAGTGCGATGTCAAAATGACTATGAGAGCAGTAAGTGAATTTTTTTGATATGGATTCTATATACAACTAGATTTACACGAGAGATGATTATTACTGATTAGGCTTGACTGGCCTGCCGTCCCGTAGTAGGTTTCACTTCAATGATAATTGAAAGCGGAAGCGGTTTTTCCTGTGGAAGTCGCGCCTTCTTGAATGGAAGTGCGGCGAACACCACTGGCAGGATTATGAGACCATGACACATGCCGAGGAATACGACCAACACGACGACCTGAAGAATACATTCGTCGACCCGGCTCGTCTTTACACGATTTGAAACAAAAAGGTTAGGATTGTGACTATAACTATAGCCTCAGCTTAACTGGGTTCAATACCGATTTGGGCTCTCCAGATCAATTCCGTTGACGGGTGATTGCTGATGGCAAAAGATCGGTAGAACTAGCTGAGAGACAAGTGAAACGAAGGACCCGCATGGCGTGGTAGTGAACGCGTTACTCCCCGGAAAGGACAATAGCGCGTTCGTTCCCCTCCCCACCGCAGACACCTGCGGTCCAGAGTTTTGCAGATATCTCAGCATTATAGTACAAAAAGGTGTCTCAAAAAAAAGAAAAGAAATTTCTTGCGCTAAGCATATGGCCAAGAGTAATTTTCAAGAACCAAGTATAGTATACGTTTGCAACATCGTAACGACACAATAACTACGAAAGATGGTAGTCTTTGAAAGTATTTTAAAATCACTTTGCGATTCTTCTCGCTATGGTTCCGAACAGTTTGAAGAGACATCCTTCATCGCTGAAGCTTGAATTTCTTCTTCACTCACAATTTCGTTCGACTTGATAATTAATAATAGGGCTTCACACCAGTGAATTAAGTGACCTACAGAGCCTATTAGTCCCTTTTGGTCCCCAACAGGGCAGTTATTTTCGATAGTAGAATTTGGGTCGTATAATGTCCATTGCCGCTTTAACATTGGTGAAACAACATTTACTTTTTATTTTCTGTCTACTACAATTTTCACGGCAGAGCACTAAGCGAAATACAACCACAACGTTTGCTGAGATATTTGCAAAACTCTGGACCGCAGGTGTCTGCGGTGGGGAGCGAACGCGCTATTACCCTTTCCGGGGTTAACACGTTCACCAGCCTCTCAGCTTGTTCATTAGTAAAATCTCATTAGTAAAACAATTTCATGTAGAAAAAGTCTCCAAGACGTACCTTCACAAACACTTGCACCATATAAGCATGAACAGCTACAAGTACAACGATGGAGATCATCGTCGACGTTCCTGACTGGAACATTGGCCAGGCGATTGAAGCTAACGCGTTACGGATTCGCTCTCTCTTATTCTGAAAAAGTAATAATAGAACACAAAATAAGAAATGAAGTTTCTGATGCGACTTATTACTAATGATATGCGACGTTAGTGCTTCGATACATATGAGTGCTACTCGTGGGTAAATCAAGGCAATGAATTTTAAGTTCCTTTGTCAAATGGTTTCAGGGAGCAAATATGTGGGCAAGGCGATGCCTTCCAACAAGCATAAACTAGCGTATGACCGACCATAAATGAATTCCAATGGACTACGATTGTGTGCGTCTAACCTCCACCTAACAAAATGCGACGGTACAGCACTTACAAGAACGCTTCTTACAGTCTAATTGGAAAACCGATCTCGTCTGAATGGCAACATGTTCAACGACTACGAAAACGCCAATAACGCCTTTGCCGAGCACTTTGAGTGGTAACTCTTTCCATTTTTCGATTACAAACACACATGAAGTTACCGGAAAATTGCCCTTATAGTAGTGCCACGTGATGTGGGCAACGAAGTCGACGGAGAAACCGATGGCCATCAACAATGTGGTCATAGAGATCGGATCCAAATCGATGTTTAGGTACACGAGGCAGCCGAACACACCTGAAAGCCGTAAGGGCATCATACAACAAATTCTCGGTTTGGATGTAAAATAATCTATGTAGCAGTTATACACTGAGGATGAGAACATGTTTAATATAGCAACATATGCATAATGATCTTCTGCGCTAATCCACTTTACCACACTGAGGAGCATTCATCGAATTGTGCGACTACTGAACGATGTGTGAAACATAGAAGAAAATCAAAAATATACCTTTCCACACCATTTTTCAAAGGTTGTGACACATTTCTAGCTGGTTATTAAGCAATTCATGCAGGAGGAACTTACCCAGATTAATTGATAACACCGAGAACGACGATGTTACGATGGTGACGGGAGACGGTGTGAACAGAGTGAGAACGATGAGCATGCAAATCAGTGCGAAGAAGACAGTCTGCTGAGTTACCGGGACGATCGAAAGCAGCTGAAAAGCTGCTTGTAACACTGAATCTTTGGATGTGGATGTTCTCTTATTTTTGTTCAGACATTACTCGCTTGAATATAATGGCATTTATGTATATTGATTGGAAAGTAATTTCCTACTTTAAAGCACTTATAGATTATATATTGCAACGTTGTTCAAATTTTCTGTATATATTACTTAGTTCACAGAATTTAAATCTATTTCGTTCTTTTTTTCCAGATCGATTATTTTGTTTGGAATTTGGAAGCTCTACAATCACGGCGTCCTTCAAGCTGAGAAGTCGGGCATTTCCATCAGGAAGGCCAGCTAAGAGTAAACGAATACCACGATCCACTACCGTCCTGGTCTTGAGCTAGACCCATGGTGGCAAACCTCTCTTTGATACACAAAAGCTGCGAGTGCCAGTGGTGGTAAAGACCTGGGGCAGATTTTGGCCATGTTGTCTACAGGGCGCCGGGGAACCATAATGACTTAACCAGCAAATCTCCGATAAATGGTGATTATGCTAGGGCCCGCACAACCAGTGAAAACGGACCATCCACGACACTCATCAACCATCCTCTAGTCTCTTTTCCTTGACTTACACGTAAATGGACATGTTTCGTAGAATTATTGAAGAAAAAAAATCAGTAGTAGCTAAATGACTGACTAATGAATAAACGAATCAAACAATAGAAATCAAACAGATTGGAAAATATAAATGAAGAAACTCGTAAATGAGAAAATTTTCCATGCAGAACTATGGAGGGCGGAGGCTCCCGCCAATTATGATGTCCTTGTGCTTATACTTTGTAATACGGCGTAAAGTCAAGTGTTCTACAATGTAGTAAACGATAAATCGTTAACCTGATCTGAATACATGGAGAAATCCTCGTAAATGGTGATATTAAGGTGGCGATACTCGCTGGCGATAATTCGCCATTGCTCCAAGAGATTAAGACGCTCAGTCCAGGTGACGGCATTGTGAAATCCAGTGGAGAAAACGAACTTCTGCAGACATGATGGACGCTCAGCAAGGCAGTCTCTTAAATTTTAATTTGCATTTCTGTATTTTAGTACGAAAACGTTTTGCAGACACGTCGTAAGCCTCTACCTTATGGGCAAGTCAGTCGTCTAAGCTTCTAGTGCGGTGCGCTAGCGATTTATACACCCCGAAGAGGTGCAGCGTTTGGTGAGACTTTATAAACGAAGAGGAGTAATGAATGATATGGTGTATTCTCACGCTTCTCATCCCATAAACTAACAACACTATTCATAATAATGACGTACCTGTGATCACCAAGATTCACGTAATGACTCCATCGCCGGTACTCTTGCAACTTGAAGAATTCTGGAAGATAGCGATATTTAAAATCGATGGAGCCATGTTCCTGAAAAAAACAGCAAGATGAATGTGACGAAGCAGTTAGGCTTCACGTTAGATTTTACTGTCATCCAAGCACTAAAATTTCATGCAACGTGATTTTTCACAGCCAACGATTTTCGTCTCTCCCGAATTCTACCTGGGGATTTAGAGATCACTGAATGATTGCGGTAGAGTGGTGCTAGTTCTAAACCTCCACAAAAGTTATCTAGACCCGCACACCTTCGAATCCATGCTATCTGTGACAGATTCATTTGCAGTCATTAAATCATTGATATTCACTGGTTCAGCGATTTTAAAGCGGATAAAAAATAAAAAAAAAGGATAAAGCGTTCGACTTTGAACAGTCCCTGAGGGAGACGCCATGTATTCGACTCCGTTAAGCATCGTTTAGAGGTGATTGAATGCACATCTGGCCTACCTAATGATTGTCGTGGCCTACCGGTATATTGAGCCATTGCTGCAATCCTCCCAGACAGGTCTGGTACCAATTTGAAGATCCCAGAGAGATGAAAGGCTTGACGATCTCCGGTAAGGAGATTGAGACAGCAACCACCTGGGTACTGCAGGTCGCATTTGACTACTGCGCTACAAGCGCTCTAAGTGCACAAATTATTGAAACGTATTTAAAGTATGGTTTAGCACAATCGCGACCCATGGTGTTTAGCGGTCCTGCGGCTTAGACCGACACCAAATGCCCACCCTTTATGGATCTGCTGGTCTTCCGAAAATAGGATGTTGTAGTTTTCCGATACCTAGAAGACTTGAGAGTTTTTGAACATGACAATATTTCAAAGGAGACTTTGCTCCATCGTTCTATGGATATGAGTATGTAGCTTACTATTTACTACATTTTATTGTAGTCCATCCTATAAACAGAACCGCCAGCACTTGGAAATGTTTCTCAACTTGTGTTGCATCTATTTCACAAATTTTATAATACTCGTACATTCCATTCAATAGCTGTTATTTGGACAACGATCGTTTGGTTACAAGAATCATAGGGAAAGGGCCCTCTTCGTCAAAAGGAACCATTAGAAAAAATGGTGCCTATAAATTTCACACCGGCCACTCTGCGTGTCGCGTATAATTGTCTAGATTACACGTCATTGCGAATGTGTTAAATTTATTTCTTAAAATGTTTATTGATGACGAAAATTTTTTTGAGGTTAGCTTGTTCACTGAATCTTCAGTAGACTGAGAAGGATTCTACAGCACACAGCTGAATTAAGCAATTGCTGTTCATAAAGTAGGAATACACAGTAGTTTACCTTTTCTCCAACGTACGGTAAGTACGGTAGAAGCCACATATGTGTGCTCGCCGCACCAACACTATTGTTGGCTGTCTCGAATCGCCGCAGAATTCTCATGATTTCAGGCACTGAATTCGGTAAGTGCATATCGCTCGGGTTGTTCACAAATATGGCTACCTAAGCGAACACTTCTTAGATCTACTACAATCGAGAATCCACTCAATATGTAGCAACATTTTCATTGAATTTGATGACTATTTCTTCGGCATCTTTAAAGGAACTGCTAGTAGGCAGCAGCCGGACACTTACGACGCAGCAAGGAGAACGCGGTGCAAAATCATGGCTTCAAAACGGAAAAAATGGACCTTACTATTATTTTTAAAATCAATTTATATACGACGGCTGATTAAAACCCTATCCCAAAGCGAACATAATTGAGGAACCTGTCCGCCCTCCTTAAAGATGATATTCGTCTGAATTCGTACGAGTTCGAGCAGTGGAGAGTCATCAAGAAACAGTTTTTCCGATGATAACCCCACTTTAATACGCATCACACCATGTATCATCAGAGCCCAATAGACCAGCATCACTCCTAAACGAAATAGATTCAGCCGTTAATGTGGGCTTTTGAGCAGTTGTACTTGCTAAGATATACATGGTTGCCATTTACCACATAGGCAAGCCGGATTGGGTGTAGTTAGATGTTCCTATGATTAATAAGAAATAGATTCTTCAACACCGTCGAACTGATACTGGATCTATTCGGAACTGTCACAATTTTTAATGCCAACTTTGATCTTTCTAGAGAAGAAATGAATCGATTACAAAGTTCTAATAGAAACAAAACTTTCCTCGAAAATATGCTTTAAACTTTAGTAATTGGAAACAACTAGAACTACGCTTTCTAATATTAAGCCGTCAAGGTTTATTTACAATCTGTGACCTTTGCCGTTAACGAATAAGAAATGAGAAAAACTACAGCACAGTCGAGGTACCACTTGTATGACGTTGATATTCACCGATAAAGTTTATACTTGTCCAGTTGCAAGGAAAAGTAGTCCAGTGGGTTCTATTAGCTCTAAGAACACGCTGAGCTTCACAATGTTCTTCTAGGAACTTCGTGAAATTTGTCATGCCATGAGATTCATTCGCTAAGGCCTCTTGTGATCCAGCATTTGTCGCTAATGCAGAGCATGTGTCGAACCCACATGAATGTCGTCATTTTGTAGCATATACTCCCGACTGCTTCTTCATTAGCGCTCAAAGATTTATTATCCTGCTTCGTAGCGGTTACTTAGTGGTGAGGTTTCCAACGCGAATGTTAAGGCAGGAAGGATTATAAAGTAGAATAGGTAGGCACAGAATCGGGTGTCATTCTTCCTATTCCTTATATTCTCGATCCTCTTGGAAGCTCTCCATACTGCACCCTTCTTCTTGCTCAGCACTGGAGTTAAGCTGTTCATCATTTTGACTTCCCGGCTCAGAAACACAGCTAGTGGAATCCGAAATATTGTTATTTCGTTGAGTGTGAATGGTATTCGAAATCATCACTCAAAAATACCGTCTTCTTGAGAATTAGGCGAACTACAATCTCCTGAAAGGCGATGTTGAAGTCCGCCAACTCTCATTCTGTCTGGATAATGCGTAATCTTATAGAAACGATGTCATCAATAAGGCGAAGTTCCTGTAACTGCCAACCATCGAATTTACTCCGATCCTTCTGAAAGCCGTGGCTACTCTGTCTGGGCATCGGAATGTTTTCACCCTAACCTTGTTATTAGGGAAGTTTCAGAAGGGCACCGTAAATGCTCTTTCTGACTTCTGGACTTCTGCATCTTCAACCATCACTTCTCTTTTCCTTTCCTCTCTCTCACTCAACGTTTCCATCGCCTTTCTGGAGAGCTCTGCTAGTTTGCACACCACCTGTTAATTGACTGCCTACCGTGCATGTGATCCTACACTAGTCAGAATGCTCCATTAGATAATCACCTTCTGAGAACTTTTGAACTTTCAGCTTCTATGGCACTAACGCAATGTTTTTTTTGTTGGTTTCATTCCCAAGCATGATCAAAAGCGTACTAAAGAAACGAAGTATGTCAGATGATTAATGGAAAAAAAAATATTCAAAACCATGGAAAATAATGATGATCATATTCGTGGAAACTTTATTCCACAACTGACCCCCCACTATGAATTTGCTCCAAATCGACAAGCTGAAATCGACCCACGCATCCAGAATCTTGTTGAGCACCCACGACACACCCAGGAATAGCCAGTTCTTTTCTTCCTTTTCAACCTAAACGAACGCTATCAGAATGTTTTTCGAAAATTGTCCTTATTTATATTCTTCTTTCCTCCTTGTTTGATCCTTATTCTTTAATAATCTTTAACCCTTATTTATTATTTTAGCTATTCAGAGGTGGAAGATTCGTAACAAGAACAATATTCAACAATTAACGATAAGCGTTTGTTTCAGTGTTAAAGTGAAACCTAATCTGAAACTAAACTGACATCAATGAAATCAACTTCTAACCCATAGAAACTATCAGATCGCATTCTTTTATACCTTTGCCGGTGGAGGTACCGTCAGGCAGCAGAGATAAGCATTGCCTCTGCGAGCTTCTCGTTCCCCACCCAATGCTAACACGGCGGAAAAAAAGAAGATCTGATATATGTAGTCGTAAATAACGGCCACCGAGATGAAGACACAGAATGTCTAAATTAGACAGTCTCCTTTTTAGAGTAAAGGAATTTTAAAAAGATGTAGATTTGATCCGACTTTTTGAAGGGGGATCGCAAGTTATAGCACTGATATTAGTAATTATAGCTTAGACTAGAAACAAAAAACTCACATAGATGGCTGGTGTATTAGTGGAGATTCCTATTGAGAAAGAAAGTAGATTAGTGAGCGACGTGATGGAGATTGAGGGACCAGCATCAGCCAGCGTCTCGGCGATTCGCTCCCGTACAGGATGCCTAAACGAGCTCTTTTTTAGAAGCCACAGAGCATGATTCGAAGGAAATTTGTGAACAGTAATGGAAACATTTACTTTTATCGATGTTGAGGACGGCTATTCGTATGAAATTGGGATCAAATCTCGAGTCGGTGATTTTTCAAAGAAATTAGAACATGTATCCTATCGTGAATAGTGAAATGAGCTTACTTATCGTTGGTTTTATGAAACGCGTGTATGAAAATGAACACATCGTCGACACCAATGGCTAGAACTAAGAATGGCACCACCGTGACGATTGGCAAAAACTCGAAACCCATCTGAAACGCAGGGTGTTCAGAAAGGTTGCGGAGATTTGCTGAGTATAGATGGATTTAGCGTGGAAATTAACATCGCGCTTCCCAATAGAAGCATAAACAGTATGTCTGTGAAGGAATCCGAAATATTTTATAACACTTTTCACGTGGTATTTTCACAATGCCACATGACCAAGAAGTACTGTAAGCCTACTAGCGTCTCCTGTGCGCTACCCGTACAAGAAATTTAGCACGGTTAATGTGATAATTTTCAAGCAATGACTATTTCGTAAAAGAGCTGTGTGTCTTTAATTCAAAGGAAACGATTGAACTGTGACAGACTCAAACTGTAAAAGTGAAAGATCAGTTCTTGACTAATAAAATTTGCCAACTATTTTATCTCTATCACCGGCCTTAGCTGTCAAGATTTTGTACACAATCACTACTTGTGAGATTGAAATAGATAGCCGTTGGTCAATACGAGAAGAAAAAACCGTAGGAATGAACAACGGTGTACCCCGGCAACGGTTAACGAAGGGGCGGATGCTAGATTTCACAGGCATGCCGGATAAGGAATTCGGATAGAACTAGCGTAGGTTTTGAATTTGCTAAAGTATAACTCGTCTTTGAATAAGGCTTCGGCAATGTCACGAGAAATGTGAATGAAACACGCTTTAACAAACGAAAAATTTCGAGAACGAAAAGGAAAAAAGCACTAGGAAACATGGCATTCAGCTTAACTGTATTCTGCAATATAGAATTTACCCAGAATAGATGCCCAAACGAGGCTACAAGCGAAATAATCGGGCAGATAACACCGAGAAGCGACTCCAATGGATTGCTTTTCACTGGATTTCGTCGCAACGTCGTGGTCATTGTGAACACAATGAGAATGAGCAGCGTCGCTCCCATCAGAGGCATAGCGAGAATTCCTAGAACACCAAAGACCTATTTGCTAAGTATTTTCTGATAAGTACCAAAATAATTAATACAGAAAGAAGAAATTAGTTATAAAACTGGGCCACTGATAAAGAAAAATTGAAAATATCATTTTGCTGAAGGGATGGAGAACAATGCACTATATTTTATGACACGGCATCATTTAAAGAGAACAAAACAAAAAACAGAACATTAGCCCAAAGAAGAGTAAGCATACACATATTTTAAGCAAGTGAGGGGTTTCATGGATTCTCGCCATGGAGGATGCTCTAAGTTTCTAAGTCGGCAACGCGTTAGACTAGGTGATGCATCTTATGCGCAGACAAAAAGGATAAAGCCTTCAGCATTGACGAAGCTCTGGCGCTTTAGCAACTCCTCAAGAATGCACCCAGCATTCGGCTTCATCAACCATTGCAATAGGTGACTGAATTCATATGTGGCTTTTCAGTAGCCTATCAAGCCAGTGCCACCATATTCCCAGACAAGAGAACCTGGTGCAAATTTGTCAACATCGAATGGGTGGAAGGCTTCTACTCACTGCGCTACAACCGCCCCTCAATTGACACATTAAAAGTGAAACGAGGATAAAAAGAGGTTGCATAACAGAAAACTCCTCCTCGCAGTTACCGTTAAGTAAGAAAGCACAGGTTTAAAGAACGTGTAAAAATAGATGGACTACAGTGACGACTTGTAATAAAATACAATGCACATTAGCTTGAGAAAATTCCAAAGAGGACCTGAAGATGGAAGCTATTAGGATCAAGTTTAGGATCAAGTTAGCAAGCAAGCAGTAGATCACAACACTATCACTCCCTTGTGTTCAGACGAACCACTGTGTGAACTCAGAGCAGCGGAGAATATAATCCAGATTTTCCAGAACTACTCAGCATCGCGTTCAAGTGAGTTATGCGAAAATTAGAAGATAACAATATGGAATCGATGCTTAACAAAACATTACATTCATTTGGTTAATGAATTCGTTCTCTTATCACCTACCATTATATTATATCCACAGTTAAGTGGGTAAAAAAGGATAGAGCTCTCGATCCCATGTGTATTACAGAGCGCCTCTGACCGCATTACATACACCCTGACTAAGTGAATGGCTTGCATAATAGTGAAACAGTGGTCTAACTACCGATGGAACGCTAGTGAATATCGTCTTCACATTTATCCCCGCCGTTCAGTAATATCATATCAGTTGCTGTTAAAGAAGATTGGAAGAACATAGGCTATACCTGTTCTGCGCACCTCTTCTGATACTAGACCTTCACTGGTACAGAAAACCCGGATGAGCGGATCGTTGATGGTAGATTGAGAGTATTGGAATACAGCCTAAGCATTTAAGGATCAGATTTGCCGGGATCCTCCCAATTAATTAAATAATGAGTAAATCAAAAAAATAACGCGTGGAGAACATCCTTCTGAATGGTGAAAAGGTAAACTACTACATGAAATAATGAGTCAAAAGAGAGTTAGATTCTTTGGCACTGTAGTTTAGAAAAATAAGGAGGATACAGTCAACCACGAAACAATCAGCCAAATGAAACCAATTTTGAAGAAGTTTACGGCATAACAAAATTTTGATGACGAGTTGTGAAACGGATATAACCCTAACAGTAAAATCCTCATTTTTCTCAGATTTATCCTATAGTCAACGGAATTTAAACCTTTTCCCATTCACGCATAATCACCACCGAGCTCTCATTGTTGTAAATTGCGTGGAAATTGATGGCGATCAGACGCGACTCTTCGACTATTTGAGACCTGAAACATTAGCCTCAAATTTTCTCAGAACCTTCAACGAATGTCGAAAAGGAAGTGAACGAATCAATTCGACAATTACCTCATCCCATCTCATGTTTAAAGCACGAAAGAAAAACACACACACATATATATATACATACATACACACATACATACATACACTCACATACACACACACAACCATATGATTGCATTTGAATGATAACCTTCCGCGATAAACCAAATTGTTTTTGCTGATATTAGACAACTGAACATTTATCCCAAGAAATTGTCAAACGTTTAAAAAGAATGGGCATTTGTTAGTATCGTTGTCTTTGGCAACTGCGCGTTCCGGTCTGCCTTCTCATTCCCCATTCTCAATGTTGTGCGTTGTGGTTTTCCAATAGAGAGTACCACAATTAAACAGAGCATGTCATAATAAACAGAAAGATTGCTTAACTTACACCACAAAATTTTATACGGAATCAGAACATCTCCTCCTTCGTGTGAAATTTCTCATTGAAAAGATAGCCGGAAATTCAGGAAATTAAAATCGAAAACTATAACAAACTGAGAATTATTCAGACCACTAGTCGGTTTTTAGGATGATGTCGTTATCGATGATCGGTGAAGAATGAGGTCGGCTAATTCAACATTTCACATATTAATCTAACATTTTCTGATTTCTTTCTGTCATAGTCATACAACGGAAGAATTGGAAAATCACCACTGGGCGTTAGTCTCTGGGAACACTCGAGATGTGATGATGAGAACGAATGATGAGAATGAGAATGTGGAGTCGCAGCTGCCGTAGGCAACCATCTACTCACAGGCTAACTAGCAAAATATTGCACAAAAGTGAGAAAAGAAGATTTTAAGGAAATGAAAGCATCAGTGCCGGGTGAAGCTGTAGAGACTGGAAAGAGCATTTGCAAAGTCCATCGAAACTTCGCCAATAACAGAGTAAGAATTTCGTATTCCGACACCTAAACAGAATAGTTACGGCTTCCAAAAAAGGCTATAGAGAAAATCATCCGCGATCACTACTCGAATCTCTTTATTAGCTATCCACCGCTCTTCATATAAAATTGGAAAGGATAGATTCTTTGGTTCTTCCATTTGAAATCCAAAATGCTATCTGCTCGGTGAAGAAACACTCAACACTTCCGCCTCCTACAACATAAGACACGAACATCTGAAGAACGTTTCGCTAGTCCTCATCGACACACCGGCTTTGTTCTTCACACGTCAGATGCCAGGGTACAAGTTTGATGTTTAATGAAAGACCATGTTGCTTCACAAAAAGGAAGACCACCACACCATTGGTAACTATCGTCCAATCCGCCAGTTGTCTGCTGTCTACAAACTGTTTACTCAAACCACCACTAACAGATTTTTAAAAACGCTAGATGAAGGGCAGCCATGTGGAAAGCTTACAAGAGTGTCGAGGATGTAGTAAACAGAAAAATAACACACGGATCCGTTTCACTTCTTCGATTTAAGACTCTTCTCGCCTTGACATACACATTGGAAACCTTTCTGCTACGTAAGCAGGATAAAAAAATCATTGAGGGCTACTGAACGAGAGCACAATAGTATACGGGCCAAAATCACGAAAATTATCTGGGTTAGACCAATGATGCGCTTTAAAGACAAGCGTAGATAAGAGCAGTTAACGAGTGGATCATTTCGCACGCCAAACCACAACAAAAGATCAACAGTCCGATATTTTTTTTTTCAGAAGATCAGCTTATAAGGCCACATAAATAAATATATCAACCATCTATGCCGAGGTTTATAGAAAGTCGGTCTTTCGAGTTATCAACAGCCCGATAGTCAAAATTCTTCAAGAGGATTCTAGAAAGAAAAAAATAGGCTTCACCAAGTAGCTGGAACGAACACAAACCGGTAAGCTACTGTCGCCTACTCGGAGGGGTCAAATGGATACTTCGCCCACACCCGCTCACACTCGACGACTAGCACGAGGACAGGTGGTAGTGATACACTAGATGTGTCACTACATAATCTCACAAACGAAGTAAACGAATCCATACATAATAAAGCGCGAAATCTCATATAATCGTTTGGAACGTTGTTTTTACATCTACTCACTGTGAATTGGAAGGACACGATCAAAGACTACACAAAATACGCAGTAGTGAAAGCTCATCAATTTTGAAATTTGTTCACTTTACACCAGCACAAAGCAGCGCAAAAGTGGGACGAATAAAAAAGGCGATTCTAAAGACATACAAGTTGTTCACGCGAACCAGAAAAAAGTTGTTCGCCAGATAGACATGATGACCGAAAACGTTCATTGAAGGATAGGTCAATTTCACGTGGTTTACGCCCTTCCGTTGTTGATCGCGAAACATCGTAAGAAAGACGTTCACCTGTAAATGAAGTATTCAGAAACGTTTGCACAACAACAGACAACAAGTTTTTGACATTGGCACCAATTGCGCAAACCCTTTTTAATAGTTCTTCGAAGCACCCTTCGTTTACTAAGCTTGGGCTTTTCTATGCGCATGGTCATCCAAAGCAAGAAGGAATTGAAATTTCCACAAAACATGCCTATATCGGTAATTGTCAACAATGAAAAAAGAAGCCTAATCGTAAAAAGACAAATACTCCTCCCATATTTTTTTACTTTTTCTTATCTACTTTATACGAGCCCTCATCAAATTTACTGCGTGGATTGCAGCAGTTCTTGCATTCGATTCGCTTTCCTCGCACTTGTCGTGCAGAGTGGTAACCGAACATTTCCTGCCGCTTGAGGATTTCCTCTGCTTTATGAAAGTTGTAGAATGTTAACCAAGTCAGTTCTCTTTGAAATCTTCGACGTAGCTGTGCTAAGGCGTTCCCACGTGGACTTGAGGAGAGTATTGGGATGGAGATCGAACTAACTTTTGCTTCCTCATCGTTATCATTGCTAACTACCGCACTATCTTCATTCGAATCAATCCGGCTTTGAGGATTATGAAGGAGCCAAAAGATTAGCCGAATAAAGTTTTTCTATCGACCTAGCATTAGCTTATCAATAAAAGAATGCATGTTGATTAGTCATATCGAGGTTAAACGAAACCCGGTAATAGTAAGAAAACTTTACCGCATCGCTGGTTTCACATTGTGTACCACAAAAGTCCGAATAAGAATATGAACGATTCCTGTAGTTCACTTTCAGCTTGTACTGAAGAAAGTCTTCGATTTCCAGCGCCTTGTCAATGTAACTAAAAAGTTCCTTATTTATTTCATAGTTTCTTCATGAATTTTTATTTCATTAACCACTAACAGATACAACTACGGACTTCAGTAATTTGACTGCTCCTCTGGCTGCACAGGGTTACATGGCTATATGGGTTACACATTAATCTAGATACATGCCCAATCCCCGACTCAACCTTAAGGAAACCATATTCATGCAAAACAGGCACAATTTTGAAGTTTCCTTCAGTGAAAGGAATACCTCGCAACAGTCCAGGTCCGCCTATCTTAGTCGAGAAATCAGCATAATGAACGATTGACAACAAATTTGAGTGCACGAAACGACACGGCCGAGGAGAGTACAAAATAATTATGGATGTTGTGAAGAACTGCGGCTCTATGGACATCTCCTGAACTCCATGATTCTTCATGTTCTGACGTATGCGTCGGAGATGTAGATGTAAACAGAATGGTGGATCGTGCCGCTTTATCGAACACACTATCGAGACAGTGATGGAGTACGTCATACAGCGAAAGCGAGAGAGGGAATCCGAAGTTCTCGTTTGTATCAGCGACGGATGACATAAGTATTGGCGCTGCTGTAAAAGAAAGATGTCAAAATCAAGCGGACCGTCTTGAAGATAACAACTGTTAGTCGTGAAACGTTAGCCATTATCTTCCAGGGAATGTTAGGCGCACAACGTGACGATCATCCACCCGACTGTAAAGAGATTTTCGTAATAATATTATGAAATACTAGGTTCTTCAAGTTCCCTGGGTGGGCGAGTATAATCCACTATCTTGCCACCCTTGCAGGCCGCAGCAGTAAGTGGAGACTTCGCTGCCTCGCGCTCATGTTACTCAACGATTAATAGAAGAACAGGTAACACAGGTGATGCACCTCCACTAACGTGTGCTATGTACTAAAGAATGAATGTGAACTCAAACGAAAAATAACGGTGACTTAGGAATGGTTTATTCAATTTTGAGGACTATTATATAAATAGAAAAAGTAGGAAGGAACTGCCTTACTTCTCCATCTAAAGAAAGTTTTCAATTCCCTTGACCAGTTCGCATTTCTTCCTTAACACCTAAGCAACAGTGCCTAATTTTGCTTTATTACTGCAACGAATGGCGCCTAATTTGTGTCTCTATGGACCTGTGGGTTTTTTGACAATAAGCGACAACATTTCAATACCCGAAAGATTTGAGGAGTTTAGAACACCAAATAATTATGGAAGAGACTTTGCTTTATTACAATGTAGGTATGAGATTTGTGTCCTACTAGCTTGGAGTGTTTCACAACTTGTGCTATGTATATTTCACCATTTTTTGTACCCGCACATTTCATACGATAAATATTATTCGTTACAGTGATTGCGATCGAAATACTACTCAATCAATAGTCAAATTACCGCCCAGCGAATCGCTCGAGAAAATGATTTTTGTATTAGTTCCCAGGATCGACTTTCTATTAACCTCGGCATTGGAATATGAATGTGTCGTTTTCTTGTTCAGCAATCGCGAGGTTTTTAAACAGCATACATTTACTTCCATAAAAAAACAACACAATACAACGCTAGCTGACGTTTCGGCAGTATCGCCTTCTTCAGAGCCGCTTTTTTTCGTGACTTCTAATGAGGAAGTTTAGAACAGCTGATTTTTGTATGTTTCTAAGTACAACACAGAGTTTTTCCCAGGCGACGCCCCCACGACGACTATGCTAAATGTGCAAGTGAAGAAAACCGCTACATGCTCCTAAATAAACCACCCAAAACAAAACGACCTCGGTGGAGGCCACGTCGATCTCTTTGCCTTTAGCAAATAACTCCTGTAGAGGTCGCATGGCGTAAGTGTTAGCGAGCTCAGTAATTCAGAATGTCACCGGTAAACCACTTCATGGTTTCTCTTAATTATGCAAATAATGACAATAATTTTAGCGACAAAGCATAACAAAATAATGTAATAGATAGCAATAAACAAATAATAAAAAATGACAGTGTAATGATAAATAAATAAAAAATGTTTTAATTTTAACTTTCATTAATTGCCTATTCTTTTTGCACGGAAGAGCATCTTTTGAACTACAACCGCAAGGATGCTGAGAAATGAACAAAACTCGCAACATCATTAGCTGGGCTTCGAACCATCACCCATTGCAGGGCTCACGTGCGCTCCACCGCAGCAACCGAGGCTCCTGCTTGGTCTTCCCTTCAGCCTTGTTTTTACTCTATCGATGTTATCAACAACAATACGTTAACGGAAAATCGAACTACCATCTCGCCAAAGTCACGGGTTTTGCCGTATCTCAGCGTTCTTACGGTTGTACTAAACAATAAAAATAAAATGTAACTAGATATAGGGGCAAAATAATAATAGCGAATGTTTATAATAAAATGTTGGCAACAAAATAATAATGATACATGAGAGTAATACTGTGATAATGAAGCAACAAATGCGCATAACATAAGCGAGGAGAAATCGTAAAAAATGGACAAATGGTACAGAAATATCTAACAAGTTCACGAGAAAGTCTATTTTTAAAAAACTGCCGACAATGCTTGGGCAACCAGGGCACTTGAGAACCTGGCCAACTTATACGGAAGAATTTGCGGAAGAAAGAGTACAAACAAATTATTCATATGCTTCCACTATATCGGTTCTGGAGAGGCATGAGAGACAGGCGAAACAAAGGACCCACATGGTGTGGTGATGAACGCGCTAGCCCTCAGAAAGGATAATGACGCGGTCGTTTCCAACCGGAGTCACCTGCGGTTCGGAGTTTTGCAAATATCTCAGCAACATTACGGTTGTATGCCACATAGTACCCTGCCTTGAAAAATAGTAATAGGCAGCAAATGGAAAGTTAGCATTGTGAATTCAACTATAGCCTCATCTTAACTGGGTTCAACACCGATTTTGTGTCCTCAGATCAACCCCGTTGACGGGTAATTGCTCATGGAACTGAATGAAAGAAAACTAGTGGAGAAACAGGTGAAACGAAGGACCCGTATGGTGTGGTGGTGAACGCGTTAGCTCCCGGAAAACATGATAGCGCAATTTTTTTCCCACCGCAGACACACGCGATCCGGAGTTTTGCAAATATCTCAGTATCGTTACGGTTATGTCAGTTCTGTTAAGAGCTCTGGTTTTAAGGAATTTTAAAACCACTAGTATAAATTAAAAATTCGGAGCAAACAAGCAATCTCAAAAATCCACAATGCATTCGCGGACATCAACGTGCCCTGCTTGACGATTACGCGTGTTCGGTCGCTTTATTGCTCGTGATAGCACTTGTCGTCTTCGAAAAATCAAAAGTTTATGGTGGTCAGAAGAAAAGCTTTGCCTACTTGGAGAATTTCTTCGGATTCTAGTATGTTTGGCACTAATCAGTCAGCCGCTATGGGCTTGGATTTTTGAAGGTTGATTATCTAGAGCATTTTCGCGCACTTATACACCGAAATGAATGCATATACTCATGAATGTGCTGTCTGAAACAACCACCAACGAACTCACTTTGGTCGCAGAATGTTACCTTCATCAGACGCCTTCAGAGCGACGACCACATGAAAAGGACTGCCTAACTCCTGGAAGAACTCTCGCGCCACGGCAAACTCGTAACGTGAGGGTGAGTCGGATGCGCTGCAATGCGGTTTTGGCTCAGTAAAGCAGTACAAGTATTGCTCCTAATGTTTCCTAAGCTGTCTGAGATAGACAAAGCTCTTTTTTGATAGATTTAACCCGCAAGTCTCATACCTTAACAGTATTTCCACTTTACACAGTATACTTTACTAGTAAGAGCTAGACGCCACATTATTGGTGAAGTTGAAGCGAAAAAAGTTCATGGTGAGGTGAACAGAGCCAAAGAACTTAAACCACCTCCCACTACCTTTTGTTCTTGGGTTTTTTAACTTCTTTACAAAAAGAAGTTTTACCTCACAAAATCACTTTAATCATATTTCGGTTCCTGGTAAATCAGTTCGGCACTATAAAAAAAAAATCAGCGATAATCTGAGTTTTTGCATATTTTACATGGCCCGTCATCACATCTACTTTGCGGGTCCTAGCACCTCTTGCGTTCCATTGGGTTTCTTCCGAGTGATCGTCCAAAATGGTCTTCGAACATTTCGCGCATTGTTTCATATGCTCCGTGAGGATTTAGTCTTCTTTATGGATGTCGCACAGTGCTGGTTGAGTCAGATTTCCTGGAAATCATGCAGATATCTATGCTAAGGCGTTCCCACGTGGACTGGTGAAAAGCGTTGTGGCTGGTATAGAATAAGCGCCTTTGCTTCCTGACCGACGGCATCACTGACCACTGAGTTATCCCGGCCCCGATAATCTGAATAGCTGGGTAGTTATAGTTATCAAGTAGAGGAAAAGTTTCCTACATTCCTGCAAATTAGTTTTCCAAGCTGATTTAGCTGACTTTTCGCCACTGCAGTTGTTGCTCAGTTTCAGCCAAGTAAGTAATTAGAACCACAACACAATTAGAACATGCTCACCTGAAATGATCGCGGACATTGTTGACCTCTTTGAAACGATACACACCTCCAGCCATTAGCACGGCCCATATTACACTATAACAATTACATAAATTCTCTTGTATCAGAGCGAAGAATAAACTCATACAACTAATTAGGAGTGGGAAAAAAGAGCCCATCAGGTGTGAAGTGTCTTCCAGGAGATTGTCTGAATCCGCCTCCGTACGCGGAACGGGCATACGAGTATAAACTCCTTTCCCTAATTTGAGTTTAGCGGGTTGTTAACAGGTAAATGATTTGTCAAGACTTCACAAATTAAAATTCAAGGACTCTTCGCTTTACTGTTTCTAACACTTATTTTTCGCGCACGGTCATTCTGCCCAAGAAAGGTGACCGAAGGGGTCTTCGTAACCATCGCCCGACATGCTTGTTAAGTGTACTGTACGAGGTTTTCACCAAGATTATTATATCAATATAATGTTATTATTACTTATTATTAATATTATTTATTTTTATTATTTATTATATTATTGTAATCTCACGCATATCAAGGACATTGGACAGCTGCTGGACATGGGAAGCTGCATGACTCACGCGGCGATCGACCAAGCTCTGACAAACAGAAGATGGTACCTAGTTGACACATCGGTAGTCCCATCATTCTGTGCTAGTTCCGATCACCCCTTCTTCGCGGAAGAACTCGATTCAGCCTTAGGCTGGGAAACAGTTAATATGACCGACCACAAGAAAAAAGTTTAGCTGTATATGACTAGAACATTCTCCACGAAATTCTATTCAAACATGCCTGGTAGATTGAGGAAGACTCGGCAGAAGACTGCGAGTTGCTTGTCGAAGGTCTCAGAGGCTGCGCCGAATTTGCCTCAGATCCTCATGCAAGAAGATAGGATTGCATCTCGATTGCCACCGAGGAGTTGCTCCAGAGGTGAAGGAAACTGAGACTTGACCTTACTGCAACACGTTTAACAGGTCGAATAATAAATCCCAACTGCAGAAGAGCTTTGCAGAAAGATCTACACTGGTGCTGACGAAAGAAACTACTGGAAGAAACAGAAAGGAAGCAATCCAAAAAAAGGCCGTTGGGACTTGTGTGAATACAATTTTCCACTGTCAGAAGTCATAATCGAAGATCGTATCACCAAGATGTTTCGCTGTGATATGGAATTTATAACGGAAACGTTTTACACCAATGTTTTCCGCACCACAACTTCAGACCCGGTTCCTAAAATCCCCGCTGAAAAACCACCTGGAATTCGTCCATTTAAGGTGCGAGTTAAGATAGAAAGCATGACAGGAAGGACAGCTGCAAGAGCTGATGAAATCACTGCCGACTTTCCTAGACATGGAAGCGACAACATGAATATACTACTCGCCAACCATATGCAACCCAACTTTCTTAGAGAAAAAATACCAGACCAGTGGACGACGTCGCACACGGTCATGCTGCCCAAGAAAGGTGACTGAAGGGATCTTACTAACTCCCGCCCGACATCCTTGTTGAGTCCTTTACAAGATTTACACGAAGATTATCTTGGCACGCATGTTAAGAACACTGAATGAGGCGCAATCGGTGGAGCAAGTAGGATTTCGACAAGGATTTTGCTCCATGGACCACATCCAAACTGTGTCCAGAGTAAAAGCAGTTTGTCGGGAATACCACCTTCATCTAGTCCTAACCTTTGTCGACTATGAAAAAGCGTTTGATAGTGTCGAAACGAATGCAATCCTATTAACACTCGTCAGCTAAGGAGTAGATCCTTCTTACATAAGAACTTTGCCTGACGTTTATCGGAACTGTACCATGAAAACACAGCTTTTCCATCGACCTCTTACCATACCCATAGGAAGGAGGTTCGACAGGGCGACACAATATCGCCAAAGCTGTTTAGTCGCGCACTGCAGTGGATAACGAAGTCACTCGATTGGGATGAGAAAAGCATACGTATTGATAGAATATTCCTATCAAACTTTCGTTTCACTGATGACATCATCATATTCTCAAAAAGTACCAGCGAAGCGGAAGCGATGATCAATGAGCTCAATGAAGCGGAAAAAGATCGGACTACACATAAATTGGAAGAAGATCCAGTTCATGAAAAACCTATGCTGCGATGGCGAAAAAATTGAACGGGATGGCTCTCTGACTGCAGAGATCATCTCGTACGCATATCTTGGGCGATCAATGAACGTGGAAAACAACATGATGGAGGAATTAGACAAAAGAAGGAGAGCAGCTTGGACCGCAATCAAGCCTCTCAAAGACCGGCCAGCTGAAGGCCCGGAAAACCCCCGTGCTCACCTTTTAGGTTCAACAGCCCTTCCAAAGCTCTGTTATACTGATGTGACGTGGGCTGATACTTCAATCGCATCAAGAATACTCTGCGATACTCATAGAGCGCTTGAACGATGTCTTCTGAAATGTAACCGACGCTCTCAACCTTCAGCCGAATGCGAAGCTCTGATCTTCTGTCACATCTTCGGGATCGAGTTTTAACCTATAGGTTACAGAACACTATTGATGACACTCTTAAATGAGCGCCTAAACTGTCCAATTTTTAAATGGTCCAGGAAGTATTACGCACAAATGCGAAGGTTGGCAATAGGACAGCGACTTGCACCGAGCCTTGCCACTGCATTTATGCCTAAGGTGGGAACAACAATAACCGATCACCAATCATTACTCTACTGTAAATGTGTAAATCATTGTTTTTTATTTGCTCAGAACAAGAGGAAATAGACAAATGTTTTGAATTATTGAATCGACAATGAGAATACATTAAGTTAATCCGAGAGAAGCTGAAAGAAAACTGGCTTCCATTTCCGAACGTTCACATTAACCTATCCGAAAACGGCTACGTTACGAAATGGTACCGAAAGTCAAGCAGTAAAAACATAATGGTTCATAGTGGTTCATTGCCTCTCTTCTTGCACCTCACACACAATAGGACGCTTGTAAGAAACATGTTTATAACAAGTGATTTTGTTCGTATTTTTTTTGAGTGGAGACCTCATAGAAAGCGGCTCTGAAGAAGGCGAAATTCGCCGAAACGTCAGCTCATTCGTGAACAAAGAACAATAACACCTCGCGTTTGCTCAAAAAAAATACGAACAAAATCACTTGATCAATGCCGAGGTTAATAGAAAGTCGGTCGTGGCAGTTACTGCAGGATGTACCAGCAAGATGTTTATAACAGTCACCAACGTGTGTATAGAAAAAGAGCAGGAGGAATCCCGGAAATTGGCGCGCCGAATAGCCATCTACAATGGCCACGAAGCTTTAGCTCCTCGAGATAGGTGTAGTGGATTTACCATTTATCCCGTAGTTCATTTACAACAGAATAAGTGCAGCAATAAAATGCTGTTTAAGAAGAACGAGTCTAGAAAGTTCGGTAACATTGACTGAAATATTATACCATCGGGCACTTTAAAACGCCAGTTAGTTCGCAACCGCTTGTATGACCACCTATGTACAACGGAAAATTGCATAATTTGCCCTAACGGCAGAGATCGTAATTGCATAAGTTCTGCTACACTTTGTGTGACCTCTTCTACTGCGTGTGGGAACGAATATGAAGGAACACCTCATCGGTAAACTTAAAGCTAAACCAAATATTCCACCAGATTCGCATAGAAAGCAGAGAAATAACCGAGAAGATTTTGAAGTAGAAGTTACCATTCTCGCACGAGAATCGAGAACACCAGCGCGCAAAACCTTCGAAGCATTCTGGACATGTTCTAGGAATCCGAAAATGAACCGCAGGGAGAAATGCCTCATAATCACGCACGATCTCACAGTGTTTAGGATTGATATTTTAATGTGAGAGGCACATTACACTTCCATGTGAACTCTGTACGGTTGATTTCCAAGTGACAGGCTTAGTGGAAGACTTATGAAAAGCGGTGAATTAACAAAGAAGTTATTTTGTTTTAAATGGGATTGAAATGTTGATTTATCATTTTCTCTGTTTGCTTATGCAACTGTTTGGCTGGATAGATTGCAGTCAATAGTGGCCTTTCCAAACTCTGAGAAAGGCGAAATCCGCCGAAGCGTCAGGTTGTTTATAAATAAAGAACAAAGTAAGAAACAATGCAGATTTTGTTTCAATGCAGATTTTGGCCCCGCAGATCATTCTCGTCGACGGATGATTGCTGATGACTCTAAAATGACAGAAAACTGGTTGAGAGGAAAGCCAAGCAAAGGCTTTGTGGTGCACTGGGCTACACCTGAACCTCCGGAAAAGGTTGTCGCAGGTTCGAATCTGGCTTGGGGTCCGGGTTTTGCAAATGTTTCAACATCATTATGGTTTAATTCCATATAATACCACACCATGGGAAAAACATTCAGCAACTAAAAAGTAGTACAACGTAAAACAGTTTTCAGTAAGTAGCTCTATAAAGTGATTAGCGTGTTTATTGTTGCTTATGATAATTTAAACCAGCAATAGCCGTTGAGCATAGCCACGATTTAACGGACGTCAAACGAGTCTCATTGTGACACCTGAGCAAATTCCTTCACATTAGCAAACGTTGTTCATTCGTTATTTATTTCACTAAAGTGCAAACTGTGACCATTTTTCGAACAACCGTTTGGTTAAATAAATAAAAAAAGGATAAAGCTCTCGGCGTTGATCTATCCCTAAGGGATGCGCCATGCATTCGACTTCATTAAGTATCGTTTGGAGGTGATTGAATGCATATCTGGCCTTTGCAATGACTTGCGGTGGCCTACCGATGTATTGAGCCAGTGTTGCTATCCTCCCGGAGAAGTCTGGTGTCAATTTACGGACGCCGGAGCGATGGAAGGCTTGGTGGGCCACGTGTGCGGGATCGATTCCACGTGTGTGTCAAAGTGGTGCCTCCAACCACTGCGCCACACCATTTTCTTAAATCCCAATATTATCAATGGTTTTTCGGCCGACGTCTGGAAGGTATTCTTAGGTGTAGAGCTAGCGAAAGTTCATCCTTGCTAAAGTATCTCCAAGAGTTAAAATTTTATATCCGTAGGACCAACTAAAAGTGGAACAGTGGCAGGAATTGCTACACTACCATCCTCTAAGTAACTAACAAGAGGT